AGGGAGCCCGATGCGGGGCTCGATCCCAGGACCCTGGGATCATGACCTGAGCTGAAGGCAGACGCTTAACGACTGAGCCACCCAGGCGCCCCCATTTTCATCTTTTTAAAGGAATCTCCCCAGAGGCACTTTCTGACCCACCTGCTTTGGACACACAACTGTCATACTGGGACTTCCTTGAGCTCTCTCTTGTGTGGGATGTCCTGTTTTGGGGATCCCTGAATCATTCAGATGAAACATCCTCCAGTAGAGTCCTGAGAAGGGTTATGTGGGAGGTCCAATTTATTGAGAACTTAAATGTCTAAAAATGTTTTTATTCTCCCTACACACTTGATTGATAGTTTTGCTGGGTATGGAATTCTAAGCTGCATACTCGCCCCTGTGCAGTCGGAACCACTATCTGAGCTCTCACTGTGGTGGTTGAGAACTCTGAAGGCATTCTGATCCTTAATCCTTTGTGGATGACCGTTTTTCCCTTGTTAGGATTTCCTTTTGTCTCCACTGTTTGAAATTTCACTGAGATGTGCCTCAGGCAGTGTGTCTATTCTTATCCTTTGTGCACCCCTTTAATCTGGAAACTCCTGCCCCTCACTTCATAAATTCTTTTTCCAGAATTATTTCACTGAGGATTTCCTCCTTCCTATTTTTTCTCCTTTCTTTCAAAAACTGGTGTTATTTTAAATTGGGTCTCTTGGGCTAGTCCTTTAGTTTTTTATTTATTTTTTTAGTACCTTCTCTCCTGTTTAGGAAATTCTCTTAAAATTTTTTTCTTAACTTTCCTGTGACTCTTTCATCTTTGCTCCTGTAGTTTTAAAGTCTAAGGTTCTTTTCATTCCTTGAGTGTTTCTTTTTATAGGGTAACTTTTTTTATGGATACAGTATTGTCTCATTTCTCTGAGGATAGTTGTTTTAGTTTAGTTGTTTGGGGTTTCATTTTGTTTGCTGTTTTCTTGCCTACGCTCTGTTTACTCTGTTACTCTTTTCCTTTGGTTTACTTTTAGTTCTCTTGTTAGAAGTTTTCTTCACATGTTCACTAGTTGTCTGCTCATATTTAAGTGGGAAACTAAAAAACGTATTGAAGTCCTAAGTCTGTGGACTGGGCTTGACTTTATCTTAGAGAAATCTAGCTGAGTCATTTCCTTAGGAAAACCCAAATAGTACTTTTCAGTCAGTCCTCTTGGGCTGGCCAGAAGGGTCTCCTGCTTTCCCCAGGCTGCATGACCATCAGAGGTAGGGAAGCGGGCAGGGGATTAGGGCTGTTCTGAACTCTCATTTCTGTTTTCAGCTCTACCTGCTACCCCCTAGTCCATGGATTTTCTCTCCTACTGTCTTTTTTTTTTTTTTTTTTAAGATTTTATTTATTTGTCAGAGAGAGACACAGTGAGAGAGGGAACACAAGCAGAGGGAGTGGGAGAGAGAGAAGCAGGCTTCCCGCCGAGCAGGGAGCCC